CTCTTCAAAAGTTAGAGCCAAATTCCTCTCCCCTTGAACTTAGTGACTCACTTCTAAGATATATATAGTGACTGTATGTAACTTCTGAGACTAGGTTAAGGGCATTGAGACTTCCTCCTCAATCTCACTTTCTCAGATCATTGGAAAGCCAGTTGCCATGTCATAAGACATCAAGGAGCTCTATGAAGAGGTCAATGTGGCAGGAAATTGAGGTTTTCTACCAACAGCCAGCAAGAAACATGGCCCCCTGCCAACAATCCTGTCAGTGAGCCATTTTTTTAAAGAATCCTTTAAGTCTTCAGAAAACTGCAGCCCTAGCTGCTACCTTGATCATAACCTCATGAGAAACCATGAGTCATAATCACCCAGCTAAGCTGCTCCCAGATTCCTAACCTACAGAAATTATATGATATAATAAATATTGTTGGTTCAAACCACTAAATTTTTAGATAATTTGTTAACAACAATATTTAATTACAGTGCCAGACTGCAGCAAGGTGCCTGGGCAGTAATGACTGAGGCAGATAATGAAGTGAGCCTGAGGGGAGACTAACCAACACCCATGTGTTCCGTGCTGTTGGCCAGAAGCCAAGCCAAGTGTTCCCTGGTGCCCCAGGGAAGGCTCTGGAACACTGAGATCAAGACAAGGACCATGAGTATCAAAAGCAAAAGGTATGATACTCAGAAGCTGGGTATCAGTATCAAAACACTAAGCCCAAAGACCTGGCCTAACCAGCTGTGCCTCAGATGTCCACAGGCAGCATCTAAAGACCAAAGGAGATGAGATTCTTCTGAGCAAGCATTGAGAACTAGACCAAAGTGCCTGGACAAAAGGGCCTCCTACACCCAAGTAAGTAGCTGAGAGAAGGGAAAGGAAAGTGGGATAGGGCACTCTGAAAGACTAAGAATTTACTCAGAGAAACTGAATTAACTGAGAAATTTTAAACTAGAAATGATAAAAGTTACTTGGGTTGGGTGACTTTAAATTTATTACACTACCAAGGAGAAATGTTCATGCATAACTTATGTTCAATTATAAGAAATAAAGTTATGTTTCTGCACATCTGAGATCTCACTATAAATTTTAAATCCACTATATATTTTTATTTATTTTGAAATATTTCAGATACAAAGAAAAAAAAAGTGAATGAATGCTCATGTACCCATCACCTAACAAATAGGAAATCAGTTCTGGCTGGTGTGGCTCAGTGAATTGAGTGCCAGCCTGTGAACCAAAGTGTCACCAGTTCGATTCCGAGTCAGGGTATATGCCTGGGTTACCGGCTGGGTCCCCAGTTAGGGGCGTGTAAGAGGCAATCAATTGATGTATCTCTTGCACACCCACATTTCTCTCTCTCTCTCTCTTTCTCACTCCCTTCCCCTCTCTCTGAAAATAAATAAATAAATCTTTTTAAAAAAATAAATAAAAGAAAGAAATCACAGTCCCCTCTGTACTTCTCCCTGATCGCATCCTCACTCTACCCGCTTAGGGAACTGTTATCCTGAATTTTCTCATTTTCACACATTTCCTTTTACTTTAACTACAAATCTGTTTATCTCCTCAATAAAAAAAAAGTAGTATGATTTTGCCTATTTTTAATATTTAAATAGTATCCTATTGTAAATACGTTTCTTTAATTTCCTTTTTGCTTAAGATTATAATTGAGAGATTTGTTCTTGTTGAAATTTGTAATTCCAATACATCTAGTTAATTTCATTTTTTGGTCTGTTTAAATAATTATGGTTACTGATTATTCCTATTATTTTATTTGGAGTTTTCTAGTTTTATCTACACTTTCTTTTTATGGTGATTAAATACTTAAATTGTTTTCCTGTTTCTACTGCTTTGGAAGTGCACATTTTATTACTAATATGCAATAATTGCCCTTAATTTCTTTTTAATCCTCACCCAAGGATATGTTTTTATTGATTTGTGGGCGGGGGGGGAGGGAGAAGAGAGAGAGAGCAAGAAACATCAATTGGTTGCCTCCTATATGCCCCCTGCCTAGGCATCAAACCCACAACCTGGGTATGGCCCTGACCAGGGATTGAACTTGCAAACTTTTGGTGTACAGGACAATGCTCCAACCAACTGAGCCACCTGGCCAGGACTCCCTGTATCTTTTAAATATATATTTAAGTTTAATATTATTCAGTATTGTTATCCTTTCCCCAAAAATCCAGCTGCAGTCACATACTTCTCCATTATCGGTGACTAATACTTTAGCTCCCTTTTCATTTTTACCCACAAATTATATATTATTATAGTTGTTCTTTATATGATCAATATTTGTTTATATTTACCCATTTGTATACTAACATTCTTATTATTTTCTTGCATCTCACACCTTCAAGATAATTTTCTTTCTTTCTGAAAGTCTCATTTTTTGATTGTCCAAAAGTATCCTTGTTTTACCTTCAGTCTTGAATGCCAGTTTTGAGGTAAACAATTCGAGGTTCGCAATTATTTTCTATTACCATTTGAAGGTACTATTGTACTACTGGTATATATTGTGGTTGAGGTGTCAGTTGCCCATCTACTTGTTATTTCTTTACAGATAATGTGTTTTCTTTCTGCCTGCCTTTAAAATGTCTTGTCTTTTTTTTATAGTTTTATTATGATGTGACTGGGCATGAATTTATTTTTACTTTATTTATTTTACTTACTGAATCTGAGTACTCATTATCTTTCATTAATTTGTGAAATCAGCTATTATCTCCTCAAATATTTTCTCCATCTCCTACTTTGCCTCCTCTCTTTTGGAATGCCAAATAGAAGAGTTAGTATCTCTTTGTCTCTCACCTTCTCTTTCATATTTTCTACCTCATTGTCTCTGTGCTGCATTATGGGTGATTTATTCATATCTCATTAATCCTCTCTTAACAAATGACAAATCTATTCCCTGTTGCTTAAACTCATTCGATGAGTCTTTAAATTTCAATCATTATGTTTTTAACTTTTAGGAGTTTGAATTGGTTATCAATTCTGCTATAATTTTTTTTTGATAGCATCTTGTCTCTGATGTTTTTAATGTCTCCTCCTTTAAAAATTTTAGACTTGGTAGTTTTATATTCTATACCTCAAAATTCTAATATCTGAAATCCTTTTTGGTCAAACTCTAACTCCTCCCCAGAGTGGTTTGTTTCCCTGTGTTTTGTAATTTTGGATTGTGTGTTCATCACTGGCAGGATTTTATCTGAGATCCTGTGAAACCTAGGGTTTACATTGGCTCCTATCTGGTACACTTAACTTGAATTCTTGGCTTAGGGCTTCCTAAGCCAGGTAGGCAGGTAACAGTGAGTTCAAACTCCAAAACTGCATCAGGGCAAGCCAACAGATACACTTCTCAGAAAAGACTTTTTTTTTTTTTTTTTTTTTTTTTTAATGACAAATCCTGCCTAAGAGCCAAGCTTATAGAAACAAGTTTCCTGATCATGTTCTTTGATACCAAGTGGACATAGCCCATGGAGAACTTTATGCATGAGTCTCGTTCCCAATCTTGCTCAGGTCCCAGGCATCATCTCCCCTCATGCAAGCCTCTGGGTTACTGAAACTGACAACCAACCACAAAGTAGCCTCAGTCCCAAGCACACTTGTTTTTGGTCTCTGGGGCTTTCCTTTGTTTTCCAGCTAGCTCAAAAATATATTTAAATTGAGATGTGTTCAATTTTATCCAGCACATCCAGGAACTTTGCGATTGAAGGGTTGTTTTAGGATACATATGCTACTATAGTGTTCCTCCCACATGTTCTTAAAAGATCCTTCAGCCTGCAATGTATGGAACAGTTTGGAGGAGAAACAAGCAGAAACAGGAATCTATTAGGAATCTATTGCAGAAATTTACACTAAAATTTAGATATCATGGAGGGGATTGGTGGTGGCAGAGATAAATAGATAAGCAGTATTTAGTAAGTAAAATCAACAGGGCTTCAGACATTCAAGAACAGATGTCTAGTGGGAAGTTTTTATAGGAGCCAGAAGCTCAGAGGAGAGATTCAAGCTGCACAGGAGATTCGGCAAATCTTCTTTGAAAAACTGGCCACTGACTTCACCGACAAAGATGCTTGGAAGAAAGTGCATACTGGGAAGAAAGGAAGGTCCTAGAACCATCTTTGAGGAATATCAACATTTTAAAACCTTAAAAGTGGCTAAGCAGGCAACAGAGACTGAAAAGAGCTAAGAGGAAAAGCCAGAGAAATGTGGTTTTCACTGAGGCCAAGAGATGAGCATTTCCAAAAGGAGGGAGGAGTCAGCACATGTCCAGTAATAGAGTTCAAGAAAAATGGCTGAAAAGTAGGCATTCGATGTGGTGGCACATGGGAAACTGGTGATCTTGGCGAGAGAGGCAATGAATGCTAATGTCAGAGTCAGACAACAGTTAATTGCTAAGTAGAAAATGGACACCAATCACTTAGAAGTTTGGCAATGAAGGCGAAGACAGAAAGAGGACATCGGCAGAGGACGAAGAGGGCGGGAGAAGGGTTATTTTAAGACGAGGGAAACTTTAGAATGTTTAAATGCCGATAGGAAGGGGCCGGAACAAGGAGAAAAAAATAAAAGCCCGGGTAAGAAGAAATCTGTTGTAACGGTGGACAGATTGTTTTGGATTACTAACCCACGAAGTGGACCGGACCTCAAGAATTTAGCGGTTTGAGTAGCTTCAGGTTTTAAGTCAAGGATGTTCTTCTACACTAAAACCTTCGCTTTTCCGCTTCCTCCTCTTCGTTTCCGGCCCCTGAGTCAATTCCACCACCCCTCTTCGGTCCCTCCCCCAACCTCTTCCCTGACCGCCCCCCCTTCTCTTCACCCCCACGCACCACCCCCGACCCCCAACACACACAAAATCCGGGCCACGACTCCCAGTGAAGTGCTTATACGTTTTGCCTTTGCTACGAATTCTTCCGGGTCGCGGGATAGAGCCACGCCCAGTCTCAAGCCGGCCCACTTCCCAATTGAAGCGCGCTGCCCAAAGGGCGCACGCGCAGCCAGGAGGGGTGTGTTTCGATCTCGCGCAAGCGCCTTGGGTCCTGGTTGCCATGCGGGTGCTCGTAGGTGAGGGAGGGCAAAGTGGGAGAGGTGGGGGTGGGGCTGGTTTATGGGAACGAGATTGAACCAGAGGTTGAAAGCTAGGTCGCCCTGATGGAGTGCACTGTCTTGTGCACCGGCAACCTGGCCTTGTCCTCCTAACTGAAGCCGAATCTCCCTAATCCCTGTGACCTGTGTCACCTGTGCACCGCGGGGACTGGGCCGAGGCCGAGAAAGAGGGGAGAAATCTGGGGTCAAATGGGATGCACCAGAAGAGGGGGCCACATGCGGGAACAGAAGGCACCTGTCTGGAGGATAAATACCTCGTATTTTCTGATCAGGTGGCGGGACGGGCTTCATTGGGACAGCCCTAACCCAGCTGCTAAAAGCCAGAGGCCATGAAGTGACTCTGGTCTCCCGAAAGCCTGGGCCGGGCCGGATCACGTGGGTATGTCCACCCTCTGGAAGCTGGCGGGTTGGGGGAGGCCCGGTTTGGCGGCGCAGGGTTAAGCGCGCACGGTGTACTTTCTCTGACAGGATGAGCTCGCTACGTCGGGGCTGCCCCACTGCGATGCCGCAGTCAACCTGGCTGGAGAGAACATCCTCAACCCTCTCCGAAGGTCAGTTGGTGCTGGACCCTAAACTGATATCCTCTAGAGCAGAAGAAGAGGGAACGATATGTGAACCGTGGAGCTGCCCCATCACTGATTACTTATCCCGCCCCACTCCTTCAAACCCACCCTCCCTCCTACCCACTCAGCCAGTTGACTTTAGTCCTCACTTATAACTCAGAATGTTCAAAAAGGATGTGCCCTTTCCCTCTCCAGGAGACATGGGCAGTTTCTCTAAGGCACAATGCAGAGTTTTACTAGAAATGGGTATGGACAAGGCCCCAGGGAAAGGGAGAGGAACAGATATGGGCATGTATGTGTTCAGTGGCTTATTTCCCCTGTTTCTCCTGTAGGTGGAATGAAGCCTTCCAAAAAGAGGTTCTCAGCAGCCGCTTGGAGACCACCAACCTTCTGGTTAGAGCCATCACCAAGGCCCCACAACCCCCCCAGGCCTGGATCTTAGTCACTGGTGTAGGTATGCCCCAAATCATCAACCCCTTACATCACCCAAGGGAGGTGAGTACACAGTGAAGGGGTAGCTCAGGCCCTTTCAGGTAGACATGCCCAGAAGTCCATAGGCCCTTGATCCATGCATGTTTCTCCTGACCTTTGTATACTTTCACGGAGAAATAGGGAACCTCAAGAGAAAGAGAGTGGAGTGGTACTGCCCCCTGTGCCAGGAAAAAATCCCACCTACTCCCAAGTCCCTTGTTTCTCACAGCACAGTTCTTCAGGAACAAATTTTCTGATTCTTGTATTTTACCTTGGAGACCAAATAATTGCAAACAATTTTGGCACATATACCAACCACTGAATGTTTTACACATATTACAGCATTTAATCTTCACAAGAACTATGAGGTAGGTACTATTATTCCCCTTTTAAAGATGCAAAAATTTTGCAGAGAGGTTATATAACTTGCCTAAAGTCATAGTTAAAGTGATAAAGCTGAGATTAAAACTCAGCCTGGCACCCATGTATTTATTCTGAACCACTGCACTCTAGCAGTCTCTCAGCTTAGCCCTTCAGCAAAAGATAAGACACTCCAGGGCAGGAACAGATCAATGGTGACACTCAAGGGAAAAATATCCACGGCTCCATCCCATGGGGAGGCCCCAAGGGCCAAGGGGGGCTAGGCCAAGGGGGCCCTTCATTGCAAAGGACCAAGCAGTACCAAGGACAGCCAGGGCAAACAAGTGCTATTCCACTGGCAGCTTACTACCAGCCCAGCCTGACTGCTGAGTATGATGAGGACAGCCCAGGAGGGGATTTTGACTTCTTCTCCAACCTCGTAACTAAGTGGGAAGCTGCAGCCAGGCTTCCTGGAGATTCTACACGCCAAGTGGTGGTACGCTCTGGTGAGAACAAGGGCCCTGCCTATCAGGCAGGGTTGGAATGTCTTCTCTGTGCTGGGGGAGTTGGGGGATAAGGAGAGCTGAGCTTACTGATGAGGATGCCACCACTTCTGGCCAACCTACAGATGGGAGGATGGGAAGTCCCCCAAGAGCCATACCCCTGGACTGCTACAGAGCTAAGCCAGCATGGGAAGAGTGAGGAAGGGAAAATGGGAAGGAACAGTGAAGCTACCTGGAGGCTGAGGGGTCTCCCTGTACCACCCTTTTTGCCTGCTCTAGGGGTTGTGCTGGGCCGTGGGGGCGGTGCCATTGGTCACATGCTGCTACCCTTCCGCCTGGGCCTGGGGGGCCCCATCGGCTCAGGCCAACAATTCTTCCCCTGGATTCACATTGGGGACCTGGCAGGAATCCTGACCCATGCCATTGAAGCAAGCCACGTGCAGGGCATCCTAAACGGAGTCACTCCAGCCTATACCACTACCAATGCTGAGTTTGCTCAGGCCTTGGGCACAGCGCTAGGCCGCCCAGCCTTCATCCCTCTCCCTAGCACCATCGTGCAAGCTGTCTTTGGACGAGAACGTGCTGTCATGCTGCTGGAGGGCCAGAAGGTAATCCCACGGCGGACACTGGCCACTGGCTACCAGTATTCCTTCCCAGAGCTGGGGGCTGCCTTGAAGGAAGTCGTAGCCTAAGTGAGAAGATACATGGCAGGGCCTACGGTGTTTCCCTCAACAAAGGCTTCCCAGTTGGGACCGAATAGGATGAGGTATTCCTCTCCTTGAGGTATGAACCCATCTGATTCTTAGGGACTGCTCTCCTCCCTGTCCTTTCTCCTTATTCTGTTGCTGCACTTTAACTGACTGTCCACTGTTTCAAGGGTACAGTCTCATCAAGTTGGGACCGTAACATCTCCAGGTTTACTAAGCCATGTAATGGAGATTACTAACAATCTCCAAGTTTGGTTTCCCTACATGACCCAGTCCTGCCCCATTTCTCTTTTGCTATGTAGTGAATGCTCTACAGTTTAGGCAATAAAGATAAATTATCTCATTAGCTTTGGCTTATCTCTTTAGCCTAGATTCTCCTTGAATTTATTTCAAGAAATGTCACCCTAGAAGACTCCCAAATGTGGGATTTTGAAAGTTACAATGGGCATTATCTCCCTTTTTGTTTCCTCCAGTTCCAAAAGAGCTGGTAACAAATTTGGGGCATGAGGTTATAATAACGGTAGAGACTAGAAAACAAGAGAAGTCATGATCAATTTCCAGTGAGTTCTATGGTCACTCTGCATACTTGTTCACATGGTACCATTAGGATGCCAGCAGAGGAGGACACAAGGCCCACGTCTAGGACAGCCTTCACAGTCTGTTGCTGAATGGCAGTGAATTAATAAAGTGATCACACAATGGTACCAGTTCATCAAGCTGCAGGAGTAAGCCAACAACCCTTTCTGTAAGAAGCTTAGGACTGGCCTCACATCTGATTGAGGCCACTCAGTCAACCAGAGTCCCAGGCACAAAAGGGAAGAAGATACCTCTGGTCTACTTCATATCCACCATCACTGAAAGTGAAAGGGACAAGGAACATACCCAAAATTACAAACTTAATAGGAAAAAAAAAATCCCAAGTGTTCATTTAGGACCCTCTCCCTTTTCACCTACTCTGATACCTGCCACAATTTGACCAGTAGTTCCCCTAGCCCCCCAACTTGGGCTGTATTAACCAATCTCCTTTCTTCCAAGGGGACTTGAGTCACTGTCACCTACCTTCCTGACTAGCCTCTCTGACACACGTGTCCCCAGCCTAAGTCAGTAAGGTCTAGTGGTATCCATAACAGGGAGGAGGGCGAGAGATACTAGGACCCAGAGACCTTCTCCATCAGCACTCAGCTCCCACTAGCTGCTGGAATGAGGAGCGGGGGAGGCAGCCTTCAACTCCCTGCACTGCTCAGGGAGCAGAGGCCGGAGCCTGGAAAGGATCATGTCCAGGGACTTGCCTCAGGGCCCAGACACAGAACCCTCTGGTACCTGTCCCTCTTCTTTATCCAGTCCTGGACTCTTTAGGAAGTTGACCGGCCCTGTATTGTTCCTGGGGGGATGACCAGCCTCAAGGGCAGAAGCATATATCGGGGGCTGCACTGAAGGAAGGACTACTTGGAAGTAGTCAGTTTGCTGGCACAGGACTTCAAGCAGATACAGGACGACGACCTGTAGGAATCAGGGCAGAGAATGTTCTGATGGGACAGCAGTTGGTCTGATTCTATTATAATTATTCTTCAGTTTTCATTTTCCAGATAATTAGTTCATCTAGATACAGCCTTGATAACCGCCCCCCCCCCCATTCACACGCACACACACAATCACACACAATCACACACAAAGCCGAAGTGGGCCTCACTTTATGCAACGTGTTCTGTAGAGAAAATGCTATGGTTAAAATCACATTGTCATTGCAGAGCATGGCTTCCATTGAGTTCGCAACACCACAAGTGCAGTGAACAGGGGACTTTCTGACACATTCGTCAATCTGTAAACAAGCACTTGAATGCAACAGGAGAGCTGCCATTTAGAGGAACCCTGAGAGTATTCTGGTAATGCAAACAGTCACCCCTAACTGTTTTGTAAATGTGGACTTGGGGGTTGCCCCAAAGGGACGCAGCCATTATAGGGCACATGATGAGGGTGCAGTGTTAAAATCTAGGGCACAGGCCCTGGGGACAGAGGACCCTCAATTCTCTGAAAGTAAGGTTTTGGTGTGGAGGCCTGTGCAGTCACAGACAGACACACCTGAGACTTGGTCCAAATACTTTTCCTCCAAAGAGCCCTCCTCCATGTTCTTATTTCTCCCAACAGGCATTTTTACATCTGATTTATAGGCAGAAGTAAAGGCCAAGTAGCTCAGTCAAAGTCACAGACAGGCACAGCTGAGACCAGAAGCAAGTTGCCCTCTACCTTTCCCACCAGCTCTCTGCTGCACCACTGTGACCCAGACCCCGTCACACTCGCCTTTCCAGGGCCCAGCGTTCCCTTCAAGGCTCCCAGGAGCCCTGCCAGGCCTAGGAAGCGTCCTGTCCTCTGGCTATCCAGAGCAGCAGCCAGGAGCAGGAAGGCTCAGCTTCCTTGCCACCTGTTTTCATTCCCCTCCCACCCACTCCAGCTTCCATCCTCAACTCAGCTTCGAGGAGGGGCTGGCAGTCCCAATCTCCAGGACCTACGCTTCCCAGCAGCCCCCACTCCTTAGAGAAACCCTGTGCTAAGGTTGAGGAGTTGGAGCTGCACAGAATCTCTTCAGAGCTGGTTGAGGTGTTGACTCAAGAGGAGATCCGGTCACTTTATGGACCTGTCTCTGAAGTGCCCCACGCAAGAGCATTGGGATGCTCTTCCTCAGTCCTTCCCTGCCCCGCCACTCCAACTCAGAGTGGGTCTGGGTCAGGGTCTGAGCACAACAGGGATCCTCACAGAAGAGGCAAGGCTGAGCAAGGCTGATGCTGATGGGGAGGCAGCCACGCAGGCCAGTGAAGCTCAAAAGTTGAGACTGAGCAGGGCCTCAGACAGCTGGTTGATGTCGCGGCAGTAGGGCTCCCTCTGCAGGATGAAGTCCACCTTGTGATCCTGGCCCCAAAACACTTCCAGCAGCTGGCGCCGGAGCCTCTCTGTCTCCCGGGTCTTCCGAATGCCACCACTGCCTTTTTCCTCCTCTTCTCTCCCCTGCTGCTGATTACTGTGTTCTGTGAAGCCCCTGGAAGGATGCTGAGACTTAGAAGACCCCTGTGCCCTGGGAAGAAGTAAACAGAAGAGAGGAGCTGATGTGCATCCCAGAGAGAAGTTAGAGCTCAGCGGGCCTCCCAGCACTTCACTGCTCTTAACTGCCCTGACTGTTCCTGGCTCAGAAGTTCCCCAAGCGGACCACTGAGCGGCACTATCAACCCACTCCTGAAGAGGAGATGGGCGGTTACTTTGAAACCAGGAAGGCAAGCCCTGCCACTAGTATAATGTAGTTCTAGTCTAATAAATTACTCACTTACTTAATGGCCCAGCAGAGGGGGTGCTGAATACAAGTGGCTATAAAAATAAAAGCAACCATGTTCCAAATAACTCCAGCAAACACTGACCAGGGGAAACAGGAAACAGGAGCTTCCCTCCAAGCCCCCAGAGGGTCTGTCAGGATGTCCAGGGAAACAGTTAGGGCCAAGCCCAAGGCAACCTAAACCACTCTAGAATTAAGCTGGCCCAGACTGAGGTCACACTTACCCCAAGCCTCCAGGCCTGCAAGGCCCCTGCAGAATGGGGGCCAGGGCTGGGGGCTGCCTACGACAGTCCGGGGCATTACCTGACTGGCTTCTTTAGGAACTCATCCAGCATGGGGCCATTTCGCCCCAGTGGGTCATCAGGGACCATGAAGAGGTTTCCCACAAAGGTGAAGGGCAGCAGGCTGGAAGGGGACAGAAAAATATAATGATCACAGAGGGGCCCCTGCTCATCTCCCAAACAGCTGAGACTAACTCCACCGGAATCTGTAAGCCACCATTCTTTAAGCCAGTGTCAAGTCCGTTACCAGAGCCCTCACCCAGTGGCAGAGCAGAACCAGTTTTAGAGAAAGTTCTGAGTCCGAGCCCTGTTCTCAGGGGATGCCCCTCACCGCTCTCTGATGATTGCCATCCACTTCTCAGACTCCTCCGCTAGGTCCCGGAACTGGTCGTTAGAGACAATGATCCCATCAGTCTCTTCAGCCAGCTTCACCATGAACCTGTCTCAGAAACCACAAAACATTCTGAAATTCTCCAAAGCCTCAACCTCAAAGAGTGTTATCAATTCCCATGACCCACTTCTAGTGATAGAGATCTGCCCCTTCCCGCCCCCCTCATCTTGACCCAGTCACGAGGGGACTGACTGGATACAGGTGCCATGGGTTAGAGAGGAAACAGATGAATCCAGTGTAGAATCCCAAGAACATCCCTCCACGCGCCACAACCCTCCACCCAATGCTTAGTGCTTCATTAATAAGACAGTAAGACTTAGCCTTGGCTCTGTATTCTTCCACACTACAGTCGGTCACAAATCCATCATGTTTTTTCTCTGAAAAGCCTTCCATTCTGCTCCCTTCCTTTCCAGTTCCACTATTACCACCTGAGCTATTCAGACATTGTAGCAAAGATACTGGTAAGGGGGTCCCCTGCCCCCTGCCATTTACCACCCTCCCGTTTCTCCTGCCCTCCCCCAAAAGAACATGTTCTTTGACCACACAAAAATCTCCCATAGTTGCCCTTTACCTCCTGAATAAAGTCCACATGCCCAGGCCTGGCAGCCAAACCCCTCTGGAACCCAGGTCCAGCCACGTTTATGGCTTTCCCTCTCCCGGTACTCCCAAAGGTACTCTCAACTCGTGTCAAAATCAATGATCAGACTACACATCCTGTTCTTCAAACATGCTGACTTCTATGTTTCTCAAACTACTCCCTCCATCTGGAAAGTGATGCCAAACTTCACTGATAAACACAATTACTTTAAAAAAAAAAAAAAAAAAGATGCCTGGGCCCCACCTGCGTGATCCTGATCCCATGGAACTGGGGGAGGACTCATGAACAAGTGGGTGAGGATCTTTTTAAACATGTTTAGAAACCAAAAGATTCATCCCATCCCATATCCTTCTCTAGCATCAAAAAACAGATCTCTCTCTTCCCACAAAGCCCCAGCTTGAAGCAAGTTCCCTTTCCTCCAGGCTACTGAAGTGTTTGATTTATAGCCTCTTTTGGCTCTTTGAAATCAAATCCCCAGCATTCCCATCTCTTTCTGAAAGCCACACATCTAGCACTAAGTGGGCAGTCGGTGTTTGAAAGACAGTGTGTTTTATGTTATTAGGCATGGATTGTGTTTCTTCATTTGACTTGTTATTTTGAACATTTACTCATTTTTCTAGCATGTTGGGGAATTTCTCTACGTGTTTGGAAATTTAGGTTGTAAGAAGGCATCTGTCAGCTATTCATGTCATCAGCTTTCCCACCTTTCCATTTAACTAGTATTTTCTAGACAGAGAGGCACTATATAAAAGCAAAGCATTATTTAGCTTGATGAGTGAGAAATGAATGAATGATTGGGCAAACAGAGTTGTCTACCGTTTATCTCATCTCACCTGCAGGGCAGGTTTACCTGCCCAGTCATAGAGGCACACAGTGGAACAGCTGGTCCTTTGCTCAATACCAGGCTTAGAAACAGTACAAAGGGTCAGAAGCTTCTGGCTCTCCCTCGATCTCCCACTGAGCTCCTTGAATAGCAAGTGTGGGTCCAGGACAGAAGCAAGTACCTGTCATCATAGGAGGAGATCCTCTTGCCATCCATGACCCGGGAGGGAGTGAGGGAGAGTAGACTGAGGGAGTACAGCTTTTGCAGGAAGTGACCCTCTAGAAACAGAGGAGCATAACGCAGTTTATCCTCAAGGTAGAAGCAGGATCTATCCCAGGACACAAAAAAAGACAAGACCCAACTCACCTCTGACCTTGGAATCCTTACTGAAGCGCCACTGAGGCACAAAGACAGTTATGTCCCGATGGCCACGGTCCCAGAAGTACTGCACGGCAATGGCAATGCCCCGGCTGGAGAAGTAGTGCTGGAGGCCGTGCCTGCAGTGGGAAGGGGTCGGCACTCTGGGGCCCCAGAGGAGGGCCTGGCAGCCTAGCTGGAATGCTCACCCCTCAGCACATGTCCCCAAGGTGAACAGTACTGCCCATCGCATCCCCCTCCCCAGGACCCCCAGCCCCGCCTGGTACTCACACCATGGCCACGTTGCTGCCATCAATGACAATATGGCGGAGGTCTGGCTGGCCAGGTACATTGGCAAGGCACAGGGTAAAAGGGTCCTGTAGGGCCTCCTGGAAACGCTGTGTGCCAGTCACCAAGTTGCCCCCCCGGGTGCCTCGTTTCCATGGAGACCCGCGACCTCGAGCCACAACCTGCTGCTTGTCTCCCCTGTCTCCTCGGTCTCCACAGTACCATGGGGGTTCAGGTGCAGGGGGAGGGCTAGGCACTCTGGGAGGTGAGGCTTCCCCATTGTGGAGCCGCTGGAGTAGAGAGGCTCCCCGGAGCTGAGCTGCCCTCTGACAGGGGCCCTGGGCACCAGGAGGCTCACCCTGTATACAGAACCTTCCTCTTTCCTGAGGCACCCCCTCCTTCTCCAGAGCCTTCCCCTTCAGGAGCCCTTCCTGCCCTGCCTCTCCTCCCCCGAACTGCGACCTGAAGGTCACTTCTTTCTCCCAGGCCTCTGCCCCAGGCAGCTCCTTCCATCCCAAATCCATATCCCTGGGACCACCCTGCTTCCCTCCCTCCTTCTCCATAGCATGTCTCTCTCCCCTTGACTCTTGCCACCCTGTAGGTCCAGTATCCAGGAGCCCCCTGCCTTCACTCAAGGGAGCTCTGACTCCCTGGTGCGGAGCACCCAGCAGGCCTGGGTTCGCCCCCTCCCAGTAAGGAAGCCCTTGGGGCCCCTGTCCCTTGGATGCCTCTTGCACCAGACTCAGCAGTTCCTCCTGGACAGCCGGGGGCAGCTGCAGCAGGGCCTCTCTGTGGGCATCCCCCCGGGGCTGCAGCAGGGCACAGAACTCTCTCAGCACTCCAGCACACTGGGAGGCTCCAGCGGACGGCCCTGGCCAGAAGTCCCAGCTCAGCCGCTCTACCAGCTCCTCCACTCGGCTCTGAGCCATGACGAAGGCCTCGGTCAGGCCACTGACCATCAGTGAGCCAGGCGCCCCAGGTACCAGGTGGGCTGATGTGCTCCAAGCCAGGCAATCAAGAAAGAGGCCCTGGGCCCCCAGGAAGATGCAGTGCAGTTTTGGTGGGTAGTGGATTTCATCCTGCAGCTCCGGGCTGCAGAGACCCTTCAGGTACTCCTGGAGGAAAAAGGGAAAGGTAGGAAAAAAAGGAGACTGCTAGAATCCTAAGTGGCCCAGTAGCCCCTTCAGGCTGACTGCTCTGCCCTGAGCTCCAGGATGCCTCCGCAGACAATGGAGCCCCACAAATCCTGAGAAAGGTGAGGGTTAAAAAGGGGTCAAGAACCTCACTTCCTTCTCTTTCCAGCTGAAGCCACAGCTAGTATTTCCATTTAGAACTTGACTGACATTAAGATACAATCATAATTGATTAGTTACAGGACTGTCTCTCTAAATATTTATGTGTATGTGCTGCGTATTCCCATCATAATTATCGCTATTGCTAACTTTTACTCAACTCATGCTTTACCTCATTCACAATTAGCCCAAAGAGGCGCATACTGCTATTATTCACATTTTATAGATAAAGGAACTGAGACTCAGGTCACAGGGCTGGTAGGCGGTAGAGCTGTACTGGACCCCATGCCTGGCCTCCCTACAGTGAATTCCTTGGTGGGGCTTGCTTGCCCAACCGGATTTTCTCTACTGTCCCAAAGAGCACACACTTATTTGAATTGAAGCACTTGTCTCCAAACCCTGGCAGAACCTAGGTCATCACAGCAGAAATAAAACCAAAACTCCAAACAAACACAAAGTTGGAGACTGTCTCAACTGCGCAGGACCACTGAGGTCGCCTTGAGACCAGCAGTGGTGGCATCCTTCCCACTCCCTCCTCTCTCAGGCCTCTGAGTGGGAGGAGTCATTGTTCCCAGAAGGGTCAGAATGGGTCGTTCACCTTGGCTCTGCTGGCGTTTTCCTTGGGGCCCTCCAGCTGCAGCCAGATGTGAGGGTTCTCAGGGCAGTCCTTCGGGAGGACGCTCATCCCCACGCGGAAGATGCGCTCCACATGGGGTACCTGCTCCCGTACCTTGTCCTCGGCCTCCGCAGACACGGCAAAGCGGTCCGGGGAAGGGGAGCCAGCCCCCCAGGTAGGCATGGCTGCTTGGCTGCCCAGGCCTGGAAGTAGGAAAGAGAGCTCAGAGCCTCACCGTCTCCTCAACCCAAATCTTGGTCTCTTGGGCTACATCAGCTACCAACAGGTCGCACCTAGTTACAAATCTGGTGAACAACCCAGGAGATCTAGGCCCATCTTGAGGGTAGGAAGAGAACGTCAGGTTAAAGGGGCACGGGCCTTCTCTCCAAAGAGGACGTCATGGATCAACAAGGCTGTCTCTCTGGGATGTAAGTCTGGGCTTCGTAAAAGGATGACCACAGCGCTGAGCTGAAGCGGGGGACGGTTCCAGCTCGATATGGGTCCAGAAGGAGAGGACGGGTGACGAAAGAGTCCCTCCCCTCGGGGGGCTCTGCAATCACCGGGTCGAAGACGTCCTGTTTAAAATGGATCCTCACCAGGGCTTGAACTGAGCTGTACTCTGAAGTCCCTCGCCTGCCATTTCCAAGGTTCTAGCCACTCTCATCCCCCTCCTCCTCCCTCCGCGTCTTCTGCCACCCCCTAAGTTGCGCCACGCGCCCCACCCGGGGCCCAGGAGCCTGACCGAGCCCCGCCTACAGCCTCTGGCGGCCGCCGCCCCCGGCCACGCACTGCACTGAGGCCTCCGACTTCCACCCCTACCCACCTCGGCCGCTGGCTGCGTCCTCTCCAGCCGGTGCCTCTAGGTGTCCGTCGGCCCCAACTTCACCAGCGTCCCCGGCCCGGGCCCAGGGGAGAAAGACTGGGGGATGGGGGGCTCAAATCTGGGCGGGCCTTCCCGGATTTCTCACCCAACAGGGACCTCTCTTCACATCTCGAACTGTTTTTTGGAGTCACTTCCTGGCCGGGGGCGGAGTCAGCCGAGCTCCTCCCTTGACTAGGCCTGCACTGCCCCCCGCCTCGCGCCCTCCCCCGCCCCCGCCCCCGCCCCTCCGGTCTCCTCCCAGCTCTCGGCCCCGCCCCCGGCCCCGGCCCCGCCCACTTGCCCGCAGTTCACTGTGTCTCCCTGCAATCTCTTCAGTTGCCTGGGGGTGCTTGCTCTTTCTCCATAGTTCTCAGAAAACAGCAACCACTCATTGGAGTGGGTGAAAAAAGCCTTGAAGTGACGAATCCAGTCCCTTCGGATGAAGCTATTGGAAGGCCAAAAAGGAAAAGTGACTGGCCCAAGCACTTTCCCCCCAAAACAATTGTTGGAAAAAGACAAAGGCTTTCCTTTCTAACAATGGAAAGGATGCCACTGAAAGTGCTGTAGACTTGTGAGGGATTCTGAAGAGGGGAGGAACGAGGAGGACGAAGGGCTGTAGGATCTCTCTTGCACTGAAGCGCACTCAGGCACGTGCAATCTCTGTGGTCCCAGTTCCAGCCTTCAGTTCTCTCCCGAGGGGCTGTCCTGGGATTCGGGCTGTAGCCCTCCTATCTGGCTGCTTCCTCTCTGCTCTCCCTCCCAGAGCCCAACTGCTGTCATTCTGTGCCCTGCCAAGGAGGAGGGAACTGCAGTGACAGCAGGAGTGAGAAGCAGGACAGAGTTGTGGTGCACAGAGAGGTATGAAGAGGGAGATGCTGAGACCAGGTGAGAGTGAGACAAAGATAGAACGCTGAGGAGCAGGGTGAGGAGAGTTGAGAGTCGGGGGAGAGCAGAAACTGAAAGAAACAGAAAGGGGGACAAGAAGACAGGAAGACTTGTGAGTCAGCCACTCAGCCATGCTGGGAGCAAAGCAACACTGGCGACCAGGTCTCTGGCTACCAGGTCTCACACTCAACTCCAGGTTGCCCTTGGCCCTGGTGATTCTGGCCCTGGGGACCGGATGGGCCCAGGAGGGAACAGAGCCTGTCCTCCTGGAGGGCGAGTGCCTGGTGGTCTGTGAGCCTGGCAGAGCTGCTGCAGGGGGGCCTGGGGGAGCAGCTCTGGGAGAAGCACCCCCCGGAAGAGTGGCATTCGCTGCAGTCCGAAGCCACCACCATGAGCCAGCAGGGGAGATCGGCAATGGCACCAATGGGGCCATCTACTTTGACCAGGTAACCCCCTACCCTGGAATAAATCTGAGCCCACTATGCTGTGACCAGCTGCCCCTCAATCCCACTGCCCATCTCCCTTCCCTTCACTCCTACCCATACTCCTCCTTGCCCTCTCTCATTATTTCTTTTGAATCTGTGCATTCCTCCTGTTGGCAGCTACTTGCCAACCCTTATTTTCCTTACTCACTGCCCCATCTCCCAACGCAGTGGTTTCTCTGAGCCCCAGGTGTCCCCAGCCCTCTCAGCAGGTCTGCTTCCCCCAGGTCTTGGTGAATGAGGGCGGTGGCTTTGATCGGGCCTCAGGCTCCTTCGTGGCCCCTGTCCGGGGTGTCTACAGCTTCCGGTTCCACGTGGTGAAGGTGTACAACCGCCAAACTGTCCAGGTGATCTGAGCACTAGGCCCTGTCCTTGTCCCAGGTCGGGTGGAGGGAGGAATAAGCAAAGCCCAGCTGAATCCTGGGCAGGTCCTCCATTGGCCTGTGTCCTAGGGGCCCAGAAGCAAGGGAAGAAAGGGCCTGCATAGCAGAATGTGAAGGACCTGCAGAGTCCAACGCCGGCCACCCCTCAGCCCTCCCAGGAGAGTGCATGAGCTCCAGGTCCCCAGATTCCAGAGTATCCCTCTGGAGCTGGGGAGAAGGAGGGCAATCCTCAGAAAAGTGGGGTTCTAGGACAAGGACTGGGGAGAGATGCTAACTAGCCTCCCTTCCCAGGTGAGCTTGATGCTGAACACATGGCCTGTCATCTCAGCCTTTGCCAACGACCCTGACGTGACCCGGGAGGCAGCAACCAGCTCTGTGCTACTGCCCCTGGACCCTGGGGACCGGGTGTCTCTGCGCCTACGTCGGGGGAACCTCCTGGGTGGCTGGAAATATTCAAGCTTCTCTGGCTTCCTCATCTTTCCGCTCTGAGGGCTCATGCCTTTCAAGGACAGGAATCTAGCTGCTGACCTCTGGTCTCTGCCCTCTCCCCTCTCCTGCCCCAAAAGCAACATATCTGAGGTCAGAAAGAGGTTCCCTCTGGCTGTTTATATTTCACCTTCTTGCATGGAACCCTGTGCCAAACACCCAAGGTGATGAGCAGCGCTATGGTGCCTCAGGCCCGTCCTAACCCCTCCCCCTTCCCAAAAGCTGTCACGGTCTCTCACAGTCTCTCTTTGTCTGCAGCCCTAGGAAGAGGGCAGGATTTGGCACGTAAAGAGTCCTGCCATACTTTGCAGACTTTGCTCTTCCTTCTCCCACCCCACCCCCAGCTTCTAGCTCAGTGCTACTCGGAACAGGTGGACAGGTCAGCCGGACAGGCCCCCCACCAGGGCCCAGATGGACCAGGCTCAGCATACCCTGCAGGCTCCTTCCTGTGAGGAGTGCCAGCATCACGGATCTCAGCCAGCACAGTCAGGAGCTCAGCCAGCTCCATATGGACTAGGGCAGGAGGCTCAGCCAGCAGTAGAAGTGTAGGGAGGGCCACTGAGCAGCCCAGGGTCTATGGCTGGTAGGCCCAGAGGGGGACATGTGACCAGCCTGAACAAGGCACATGTTTTTCATATATATTGGAGCAACCAGCAGGCAGTGAACCTGGGTGTTCATCCATAACAAGTCCCAAATGGACTCTGACTCTTACTTCTCCACCTGAGACATGGGGAGTGTGTTTGTACCAGCTGAAAGCAGGTGTACAGCACTTCCTTGGGCAGCTGTAAGTAAAAGGTCACATGTGGGCAAGCGTAGATCTCCAGGCATGGAGCACATCAGTGACCATAGCCACCTTCTAAAAGGGTCCCTCCGTTGTAGTCTGATCTTCCGTCATTCCATGCTCTGACCACCACGTCCTTCCTCCAGTTGTCTGTTATCTTCACTGAACCTTTTCTAGACTACCCCACAATGTCTCTTCTTTCTCCAGATCTTTACTGTCTTAAACTTTCTATTACCTTGAATTCAATAATTCATCCTTTTGACCAATCTCCTGCCAATATTTTAAACTCTCTTATTTCCCTATCCCATTGGCCCAGCATGGATGACTCCGTCAATAAAGCAACTAGAGAACTATGGTTGATGAGACATTATAAGGTCACTAAAGATAGGAGGTGCCATTACAATTTGGGTCAGGATATAACCAGGTATGTTGTAGAGACTATAAACCTATACGTTAGAGTCAAATAAGAAAGGATTTAGTAATGCTTGAGTTAAATAGGAAATACCAATGTGAATTTGTGGTTTTCAAAAGAAATAATTTTTCAAACTATATCACTAAAGTAGCATAGAAACAACATTAGGAAAAATTCTGATATGCATTCTTAGCACCTGGATCTTTGCCTCAAACATTATTCACCTTTAAAAGGACTCAGGGTTCCTTGGTGAATGGCTCTGTATCGTAAATAATTCTAGGCCTGGAACATGTTGTAGATGACAGTAAGCAAAGATACATTTTTAAATGTATAGTACAAAGCTGAGAAGGCAAAGAAACCAATTTTAAGAGGCGCCCATCTGACATTCTGTGACAATTTGACAATCAAAAGGAAAATAATGTAGTTAATTGGAACAAGGTGACTTTTTAAAATTTATGACTCTAGTGATATTCCAAAAGGAAAAAAGTCACTATGAAGCATGCAAAAAGACAGTTAATGTACTGAGTGAAGAAGAATGAATATATTGGATATTTTTAGTTAATTTTGATAAACAGAAGAGTATAAATATAGTAGGTATTTTAACTATTCATAAGGTACATTTACTTTTCTTTATCTGTATAAGTAGGGAGGGGTGGATATAGAGAGCTGTGAGTAATTCCAGAAAAATGTTGGAACTGTACCAAGAATGAAAGAGACTGATTGGCACCATCTGGTCATATATTACAACTAGGAAGAAAGAAAGCCCAACAGATAACTGCTCACTGCTCAAACTTGATCCTTTATCTCTTGGGAAAAGGAGGCTCTGTATTACCTACTAATTAAAATGATATTACAGTAATAGTAAAGCCCAAAATAAGAATGGCTTAAACAAGGTAGAAGAGTATTTCTGTCTCGCATGGAAGAATCTGCAAATCGCCCTGGCTGGTGTGGATCAGTGGATTGATTGCCGGCCTGTGAACCAAAGGGCCGCCACTTTGGTTCCCAGTCAGGGCACCTGCCTGAGTTGCAGGCCAGGTCCCCAGTAGGGGGCGCGTGAGAGGCAACCACACACTGATGTTTCTCTCTTTCTCTCTCCCTTCCCCTCTATCTAAAAATAAATAAATAAAATCTTTATTAAAAAGTGTTTTTTTAAAAAAAAGAAGAATCTGAAAATAGAGTCCAGAGATAGATGGCAGTTCTTTTGGGTTCCTGGATTCAATTCTTGTGTGTGTGTGTGTGTGTGTGTGTGTGTGTGTGTGTGTGTGTAGGGAGGGAGTGCTTCCCACAAAATTCCAAGCAATTCTCAGACACCAGCAGGATATCCAAGATTTTGACTCAATTCAACACAATTCTGACACTACCTGCCTGGATTTTGCATCAGATTCCACAAGTTAAGGATTTGTCCTTCACCCCCCACCCTCCACTTCAGACCCCAGCAGAAAACCCAGGCTGTTAACTGTGCTTCTGATCAACTACCTATAGATTGGGGGTTTCAACGATCCCTCCTTGGCAACTCGATTCAAACAGCAGTCTCAAGTCCAAGTTGTTCCCTGTGCCTTTGATTGACTGGCTGGGTTCCAGTATGCTTCTGACAGGATGGCTTTTTGAGTTTAACCTTTACATGATGAGCCTTAGAGCCCCAGGAAGATATAAAAAAGAAAGGACGCACCCTTTTTCTTTAAGGACGCTTTCTGAAAGTGCACCTAACATTTCTGATTGTATCTCATTGGCTGGAACAGTGGCTTAACACAACAGCCATTTACCTCACAGTTTCTGTAGGTCAGCAGTCCAGCGAGCGTGATGGGATTCTCTGCTCAGAGTTCCATTATGTCAAACGCAAGGTGTAGGCAGGACAGCCTATCTTCCTGAAGTGCGAGAATCTACTTCCAAAGTCATTCAGAATTCAGTTCCTTATGGTTGGAGGGGAGCAGAGTTTGCCACCCCAAGATATACCTGTTTGGAATCTTGATTATTTTAGGCCAGTTAATTTTAAGAGCCAGAAGACTTGCAGAGAAGCTCTGGAAACCAAGAGTAAGCTACTCTCTGTAAAGGATATTTGCATTTGTATGGGAAGTCTCCATCTTTAACGGTGTTTATCTCACTGTACCAACCTGCCTTCACTATCAGTGGAGAAGGCCCTGGGCTGAACTCTGCAGGAGAGCCTTACCCTTGTTTACCGTGCTTTCCCCGGTAACCTCCTGTAACTGACTCGCGCTGGCCAGCGGCTTTGTCTTCGGCTGACAGTGGTATGACAAGGTGATGGCTTCCACCGTGTTGGGGAACTAGTCCAGTGTTCCTGGCTCTAGCCCATGTATACAAGACGTATACATGTTATTAAACTTCAGTTTGGTTTTCGCCTGCTAATCTGTCTCATGTTAACTTGATTATTAGCACAGCCAGAAGAACCTTGGAGTACAGAATGATTTTTTCTCCCCAGCATGACTGTAGGACTGAGGTCCTGGTCCCCTCCATCTCTGAGCCAACTACAGGGAGCCAAGTCCTTCTCGCAGTTTGACTCTCTCTGACCTACCCTTCTGCCACATGTCTGACTTCGGTAGCGAAAGTTCTCTGATTTTAAGGGTTCGTGTGATTAGATGGGCCCTACTCAGATAATCCAGGGTACAATAATCTATTTTAAGGCCCATAACCTTAATCACATATTTAAAAGTTCCTATTGCCATGAAATATAACATATTCAGAGGTTCCAGGGATGTGGGCATGGACAGCTGTGTATCATAGTCGATAAACTCAAAGATGACATCATTTAAAGAAAAGGCATCCAGTTACAACACACTAAATGCATGGAAAATGTGTAAGCTTGAAAGGATCCCATGAAATACAAGATAAGCCTGGGTTTTAAAGGTAAGCCAGTTCCCAGGTCCCAACCCAGAATTCATCTATTTTTTTTTTTGAATTTTCATAAGAGTTTATTTGAGCCAAACTGATGATAAGCTGGAAAGCGAGATCTCAAACACTCTGGAGAAAGACAGTTTTGCAGTTTCCTTTATATATTTGGAATAAGAATGTATTTAATGTAAATCCAAAACCTGATCTGCACTGAAATAATACTCTTTGGGGTATCCAAATTCAAAACATGGTCTCAAATGAGATAGTGTTTGTCTCTTGGGTGTACAAACCAACTTTTATAACAAGTTTAGGTGTGGTAAATTTCATAATCCTTATAGGATATGTGTGCTTTACCAAATGTTTGATGGTTTTAGAGAAGCTGATCTATTATATTGATGATTCTATCACAATATGGAGGAGGGTTTAAGTTTGTAGTCAATTTTTAAATAATTTGATTTGTAAAATGTGTTGACTTTGATTTGTTGGTTATATAAATCATGTTTAAATGTTCAGACAATTTTTGCTAAAATGGACTTATGACGTAAATAGGTTAAACAATAAATAAAGCATAGATGGCAGTTAGCGGTCCCCTCCAGGTACAAAAAGCTCCTCAGACTTTAAAGATCCTAAAAATAGAATCCGACTGCCCTGCTTTCCCTACACCGACACCCTGGCAGCTGATTACTACCGAGATAAGTCCCACCACTGAAAGATGCGCTGTGGACCTAAACCCATGGTCTCCAGACACCCCGTCCTCAGTCTTCAGGCTATTAGTCCCCAACATTTTTGGCACTAGGAAGACCCAGTTTCATGGAAGACAACTTTTCCACAGACCTAGGGAGGGAGGAGTTTCAGGATGATTCAAGCTCATTACATATATATTGTGCACTTTACTTTTATTATTATTACATTGTAATATGTAATGAAATAATTCTACAACTCACCATAATACAGAATCAGTGGGAGCCCTGAGCTTGTTTTCCTGCAACTAAATGGTCCCATCGGGGGGTGATGAGAGACAGTGACACCCAAAGTGTGTCACTTACGTCCAGTCTACTCTGTAATTTTGTTTTGGTTGCTGTCACTGCAGAAAACCCTACTTCACAAAGATAGGATGTTGAATGTGGGAGCAGGCTTTTCAGTGCTTTTGTTGCAATCTCAGGATATTCCTTCTTGAATTTAATCCAGAACATATGGAGATGTAAAGTTGTCTCAAACATACTTTTAAGGCCACCATCATTTGCAGTCTCAAGCTGTTGATTCTCTTCTAGCACGGACAAAGTTAATTCACCTGGCTTACTCACAAATGGGTTGCAGATCCATTCCTTCCCAATTTGGGAGTCTTTAGTAGTTGGAAAGTAATGTTCAAACTCTTTTGAAAGACGAGATAAGTGATCATGCACCAGCTGAGAGAAAGAAGTCCTTGGCTCAGTCTCTTTCAAAATCTCTGCTAATGTTTGAAACATGTCAAAAATCCCAATGTTCACTCATCGCCCCCATAATTCCAGTTTGGCTTTGAATGCAGCTACTTTATCTGCCAGCTTGAACACAGTTGTCATTCTCCCTTGAAGTAACAGATTGAATTCGTTGAGTAGGTTGAAGATGTCACACGAGTAAACAAATTTTGTGACCCATCCTGTGTCACTGAAATGTGCTGCCACTGGTAACTGTTTTTCTAAAAGAAATCTCTGGAGCGGCTCTCACAACTCAACAACTCTCGCCAGTGATCTACCTTTAGAAAGCCATCTCACTTCTGTGTATAAGAGAAAACGTGTGTGCTCTGGGTCTATCTCCTCACAGAGCTGTGTGAACAGATGTTGAGTTAAGGGCATGTACTTTAATGTGGTAGATAATTTTAATAGCATCCTGCAAAAGGCTGTTAAGTTCAGGTGACATTTTTTGGCTAGCCAGCATTTCCCTATGGATGACACAGTGCATAGACTCACATTCAGAAGCGACCTCTTCCGCCTGAGTAGTGAAACCAGAAAGACATCCAGTCGTGGCAGCCACTCCATCCGTGCATATGCTGACACAAAATGACCAATTCAGCTTTCCTGATGTGTAATCATTCAAAGACTTGAATAGTTCCGCAGCTGTCGTGTTGGTTAGCAACAAAAAACCCATATAACATATCCTTATGCACAACCTCCTAAAAAATATATTGCACAAAAACAAGCATTATTGCCTTATTGTCAACATCAGTAGGCTCATCAACCTTGATCACATGCCATGGTGACTCATTAACCCTCTCTAACAATTGTGCCTCAGTATCCTCTGCTGTTTCACAAATTTGTCTAGTTATGGTACCAGCCAAAAGAGGAACACATGCCACCTTTTGAACTGTGGCCTCTCCTAAAAGTTCATGACAGATGTCCTTAGCAGCTGGCAGGATCAATTCTTCACCAATAGTAAAGGGTTTTTTAGTTTTAGCAATGTGATTAGCCACTAAGAATAATATTTTCAGTGCAGACGCGTTGGATGAAGTGGTGGCCTTCAATAACTGCTTCTGTTCTTTGTGTTCACCTTTTTTTTTTCTTTTGAAAAACTCCAAAGCCTTGTTTGTTAATGTAGGGTGCTTGGTCTCCATGTGGTAAAGCAGTTTTGATGGTTTCATGGTTTCCTCGTATAGCCAGCCACCACATATATAAAGCAGGCTTAGAGAATGTGAATCATCTGTTGCAATGAACCCATAACTTAAGTAGGACTCTTGATATTTTCTTTTGAGTTCAGCTTTCTTTTTGCTGGCAGTCTTAGAGTCTACTGCTGTCTCATCACTGAATCTTTCCCCCTTTCCAAAGAAGCTCTCCAGCACTGTTCGTTTGTAACTTATTTTGGCTAGGGTAGCTTGTGGGCTTACCAAAACTGCAACTGACACAAGTGCACAGTGCAGAAAAGAAGAGCAGACAGGAGTGGCACAGACTAAAATAAGTGTCATATTCTGACTTAGAGCCTGCCACCAGATGCAGCTTAATCATCATTTGCCACTCACTGACAAGGTTTTGATATGAGTCTGCAAGCAATTGACTTATGGTCTCTGTGCTGTCAAACCTCTCTGCTAATGATAGTCTGTATTTGCAGCCACTCCCCAGGGCTGGCATCACTGCCCTAGCTCCACCCCAGGCCATCAGGCATTAGATTCTCATCATGAGCACTCAACCTAGATCCCTCACATTAGCAGTTCATAGTAGGGTTTCTGCTCCTACGAGAATCTAATGCCACAGCTAATCTGAAAGGAGGCAGAGCCCAGACTGTAATGCAAGCGATGGGGAACAGCTGTAAATACAAATGAAGCTTTGCTCACCACCACTTGCCTCCTGCTGTGTGGCCCAGTTTCTAATAGGCCACAAACCAGTACTTGTCCCTGGCCTAGGGGTGGAGGACCCCTGCTCCTGACAATTTTTCTGTGGTTTCTTTTGCCAGCCTTTTTCCTCACCCTCCCTAGAATCCAAGTGAAGCCTCCTGTTTTCTCCTTAAACCTCTACCCCACCAACTTTGCCAGCAGCAGACA